ACTGACTGACTGACTTACTGACTGACTGTGTGAAGCAAATATGACTATTTCTTCTCGACCTGGATGGAACACTTGTCCATCACAGGGTACTCCTCAGCGTTCTGTTGGTTTTTGTTTTCTGACAGCAATTCTCCAGTACCCATTTATATCCCTGGGTGGAGAGAGGCACTGTAACAGTAGTGTCTTGCCTAAGTTTATAAAGCAATGACACCAGTCAGGCCTCAAAACAGTCCAGTGTACTAACCATTAATGATGCCATAATTCACATCTCACTCTCTTGTTTTTATTCAAAAGCCAAACAAAGATGGAGGGAGTGACAAACTTGTTGTTACTTGTTAACCTTTTCATTCTGAAGTTGTTCTAATCAGTGAATATTCTTTACATTACCTTTAGAGTTACCATAGTTCTGAGATTTGATGCAAAATCAAGCCATCCCCCAAATTTGATGATTATTATGCAGTTATTCTAACTGTGTGTTTCTTTGCATATATGTATGTATAACAGAATTCTCAATTGTGATTGGTTCTCTGCACACCTACTTGTCAAGAAATTGGTCTGTGATCACATGGGTGTGCAATTATAGGTATCCAATTTTAACCTTTTGTAATTATTGGATACCTATGGCATTCGCACATTAATTTTGTGAGCTGTAATGGCCTCCTTCTTGATGTTCCCTACAGAGTTTAACACTTATGAAAATCTGTGCTGACTTTTTTGCTCAAGAGAAGTTTTTGATAATATCAAAATTTGTTATTGATATGATAATTAGTAATTGGAGCTTGTGTGGAACAATCCAGATTTCAGATTTCAGGGAATAATTAGCCTCATGCTGCATGCTCATCCAATTTTAAAATTACTCACTTGATTACTCCCTGAATTTTACTCCACTCAGTCCAACTACTACATAATATATTGATTGTAAAAATGTAAATTATGTTTTGAATACTCTTGGGAATTTTTGCAGTGCCACCAGCTGACGAGTTACGTCGCCTGGTATATTTACATGGTGGACGTTATCAGCAGTACTACACAAAGCGAACTGTAACACACATCATTGCAACTAATCTACCAAATAGCAAAATTCAGGAAATCAGGTACAGTGGTAATCAATCGAAAGATGGAAATTAACTTTAAGACCAAATTAGTGCCAACAAGACTTTTTACATGAAAATCCTGGGGCATTCAATTGGACACTGTTGAGGAGATGTGACTGAGTGAAGCCCATTGTAGTAACCGTTTTGCTGTCCTCTCCTCTTGTCTCCAAAAAATCCTTCGAACTTTCCTGAAGGTACATCTACCCTATTTGGAATTTTGATTACAGATTTTGTTTGTTTTGTAGAGATGAACTTGTGGTACATCCGTCATGGATTTTAGACAGCATAAAAGCTGCCAAATTGCTCCCTGTTGAAGACTATCTCCTTTACCAAGGACGCAAAGCTGCACAGAAAGTTTTGAATTTCACTTCCAAACTATCCTCAACATGTTCAACCACCAAATCTTCCCCAAGGGGAGTACCCTCGGCATCAACGTCAAACTTGCAATCCTCTTGGGGTGGACCCTCAGAGGATATGTCATCTACCTCCATAGCCTCCCCTTCAGTGTCAAAATTGCTCATTGCATCTGATCAAGAACAGATCAGTGATGTTGAAAATGGTGAAGCTCCAATGGATATTAGTGAGAATGATTCAGTTAGTGGAGAGGAAGAAATGTTAACAGAGAATCCCATGGCATATAATGAATCTAAAATTGAAAATGATGGTAACTATGGACAAGACACAGATACTTCTGATGCTACTGTAAAGGCAACAACCGGCTCAGAAGTAACAGCTTCAAGAAAATCAACTGATGATGGCTTGTTTAAGAAGCCCAGTACGAGTGCATTACCCAGAGCTGGTGATCCAAACTTTGTATCAGAATTCTATAGCAATTCTAGGCTGCATTTTTTATCAACATGGGGAGCAGAATTCAAGAAATACACAAGTGATATAATCAAGTCTTGTGCAGCCAAAGGGTGGAAGGGTCGAGGAATAGGCCGAGTTGGACCGCATGGTCGTGTTATAATGCATATCGATATGGATTCATTCTTTGTTTCTGTGACATTGCGGGATCAGCCTCATCTGCGAGGCAAGCCTATTGCTGTTTGTCATGCTGGAAAGAGTAACACCTCAGCTGAACAAGGTAAGATGAATGGTCTGCATCAGACTCATACCTAGTTGCTATTTACGTGTTTTTGTGGGAGAGAAGATTGGATACTAGGGTGGATTAAGGTTCGCGGGATATCATGGGAACGGTTGAGAGATGTATGGCGTCGTTATTTTTTCCCACCTCTTCCCATAACTTCCTGTGCGCTTCACTCGATCCAGATGGCTTTCTCTTGGAAACAAATCAATTCCTGAACCGTAAATAGCGACTGGGTATGAGTTTGGGTCTGTGTAGTGACGTGCATTTGCTCAGATGTCTGAACAACAATGTCCTTGAATTGTTGTTTCGTTTTCAGATTCTTAGCTTTGCAGTTGGCTCACAATATGGTGTTTAACTTCCGTTAACTGAAAACAAGGCAACTACACATTCACAATCAATGCACTTAGCTCAGTACACTTAAGCCCATGAACTTGAAGCATGCAGTTGAAACCTGTGCCATGTAAGGAAAATCGATTGTATCCACCTTGGCCAAGATTTTGGTTTTGCAAGCAATTTAGAATTTTTGCAGAATGCTCTAAATTTACCATCATAATAACCATTCCATCTGTTTGCTTTTTGTAGCCATTACAGGTGTATTTTTCGAGCCATCTTGTTTATCACTGCAATACATTGCTTTGCTATAAAAACCCTGTTCTGATCTATCGCCAAAATTACCTTTGATATGAGCCATGCTACAAATACTGACTACACTACGTAGGTCAAGTGATAGGAATTGCCTTTATTTTTCTCAGAATAATCTGTAAGCTTTTTTTTTTTTTTACTTATTCACACACTAAAAGTGTTGCATTGCTCCACAGACAGTTCTTAAGTTTTAAGTTTTTAAGTCAAAAGCTAAGAGAAGTTGATCATTTTCTTGTTAATGCAGCTTCCAGCAGTTATCAACAAACGTCACCCAAGAAACCGTCATCATTCTTTGACTCCATGTCGGAGATCGCTTCCTGCAGTTACGAAGCGAGAGCTGTTGGTGTACGTAACGGAATGTTCCTGGGCGCGGCTCGTAAACTCTGCCCTGATATCTATTGTGTACCTTACCAGTTTGAGCAATATCGTCAAGTGTCGCAAAGGCTCTATGATATTTTGGTGACGTATAGTCACGAGATCGAGGCTGTGAGTTGTGACGAAGCGTATATTGACGTGTCGGAGACACTGGAAGGTATCTACATTATATGTTATGTATTTTACTCTGGTTTTTCACGCTTGGTGCGCGAACACGGTGCCCAAGTACGATTCTCGCTGGCCACTAATGTGAACGCACCTTTTTTCCGAGTACTCACACCAGAATTCGGGAACAGTGCCCGTGCCCTGGTACAGGGTCTCGACTTTGTACTCGGGTACTAAATGGTGCTTGAGTGCTCGGATTACCTGTGTCTGAAGGCAACACTATTTTGTGCCGGTGCCCAGGAACCAGTGCTTGGTTGAGCACTGGTTCCAGTGTGAACACAGGAACCAGTGTGAACGCAGCCATTGTTTCCAAATTGAATGCGTTTGATCTATGCAATACTACAAGAGAAACTAAAGTACAAGTAGATCTCCCTCCAGAACTAACTGGATTAAACACGTCTTACTAACCGAGTTCGAGGTCCGTACTGTAAGCTATGGATCGATTTTTTTCCGTTTCGATTTATAGCTCAAGCGCGAAGCGCGCCGACCATAAATAGAAGGGAAGAAAAACGAGGATCTTACTTGCGCCTTATTTATTGTCAGAGAATGAAACACCAACAGAGCTTGCGGAGAAGATTCGCGCGGAGATCAAGGACGCCACTCGCTGTACGGCATCAGTGGGTATCTCTTTTAATATCCTGCTGTCCAGAATGTGTACCAGAGTGGCTAAACCTGATGGCTGTTATTACTTATCACCTACTGACAATATTAACCTGTTCATGGGTGAGTTGCTTTATAGAAATCCCGCGTTTTAATCTTGTTCGATGCTCACAAAAAGTGAGAAAGCGCTTAAATGACATTTCATTCGGTGGAATTCGACCTGAAGTGTAACTTTTGGATGCGTACAGACGGGAATTTTGATTGGCTTTACGCAAGTAAATAAAATAGTGAAACTGTTACGTCGGTGGAAATGCTCCTTAAAACGCATCATTTGCTCTATTCTATGCGCGAAATAAAAAGAACAACGTGGTAAAAACGAAAGTGTCTTGACAAACCACTCTTTTATTGATTCTAAGATTTGTTTTAAAAGTCGTTCAAAAACAAGCCACCTCTTTCTTCGTCGCTCGTTGTTTTCCAGGTTCCCAGAAGGTTAAAGACCTGCCAGGGGTGGGGTGGAGCTTGGAAAAGAAGCTGCAGACCTTGGGAGTAGAAACATGTTCAGAGTTACAGAAGTTCAACTCTCAAGCGTTACAGCGCGAGTTTGGACCCAAGACTGGACTTCTGTTATATCAGTATTGCCGGGGTATTGACGACAGAAGTCTTAGAACTGAGCGAGAAAGGAAATCTGTGTCAGCTGAGATAAATTATGGAATCCGCTTCACGAAGGTGAGATGGGTATTGTTTCCTGAGAACAAGCTTGACAAAGTTCACGAAATGTGAGAGCAATTTTCTGAGGCACTTTTAAAGTAATTGTTTGTAGCTACGCTCGTGCTTTATAAAGCTCCCGCTACCAAAAGGAATAAGAGGGTTTTTTTGGGACAATCAGAAGGAAAATGTTAGCCAATTCCTTGCTAGCGGTGACATGTTATCAGGGGACTTAAAGGAGCTGAGTCATGGTATTTTGAGATATTTTGTACACGCACAAAATAACCTTTAAATTGAAGGAAACCTGAAAATAATAGTTTACTAAGAAAGAAAACACCAGAGAGAACATAATAAAACATAAAGGAACAAGATGGTTAAGCATGGAGAATATTTAAACGGAGTACAAACGACGAACTTGAACAATTCAGGCTAAAATTCTCGAGATGCGCAAACTGTGATGTAGCTCCTTTAAGATTTGGGCGTTAGCACCGATCGAGAGTAAGGCTCCACTTTATCACGTCACCTACCCATCTCATCCCATAAGCTACCCTGTCTACCTAAAACCAACATGAAGGGCGAGGGCTCTGGAAACGTCACTGCTTTGAACTCGTGGGCTTCGATATTTAGCCTTGGTCAATCGTTTCCAGTCACGGATATGTCACCGAAGTTAACTGACCTTTAAGGCCTGGGGGAAAGCCGTACAGGAACTAGGCAAAGTCCAATCTAAAGGTCCCTGTTGTTGTACCTTTTTTGTTACCCTACTGGTAAACTTAGGGTTAATTTTAGTTTTTGCAGTTCATCTTCACTTCAGCGATCAAGAATGCGCTCCATAACAGTAACCTGTTGCTGTTCTGTTGCAGGAAAGCGAAGCGGTATCGTTCATCAATGAACTAGCGGAGGAAGTACAAAAAAGACTTCAGTCACTCGACATGAAGGGAAGGTGCATTACTCTCAAGGTATGTTAACCTGCTCGATATCATTTTGTGTCTAAGTTGGTTTGTTAAACATGCATAAGTCTTGAGACATAAAAATGGAAACAAAGATAGGCATGGTTCGTAATCTTAAAAAAATGGCTGACTACAATCTTGGACGGAATAAAGGAAAAATGAATTTCCCTCACCCTCCGGATTTTGGTTTGCATGGACCAGGGGATCCAACCCCCAGATCCATGCAAACCCAAACGCACCATTTTTTCCATCATTGAAACGGGTTGAGCGGTGGCTTTAATTTTTCATTTCAATTGTCTAAGATTGTAGCATAAAAAATGTATTTGTACAGAGGTTGCTGCAAGAGAATATGACCATAATCTCTTTGGTCACAGATAATCCTTTTTATGTTGTTCAATTTGTTTTATTTTTTTTTCTGGTAAGTTATCCTCATTTGCTGTCGTTTCATTTAGATGAAGGTACGGAAACCAGGAACGCCAACTCCACGAAAGTTCATGGGTCATGGAATCTGCGACAATGTAGCTCGCTCCTGTACTTTACCGACTGTCACGGACGAGGCACAAGTCATTGCCAAACAATGTCACGCACTCCTAAAGCAACTGAGTGTTACGCCAGAGGATGTGCGGGGTATGGGAATTCAAGTCAGCAAGTTAACTGTCAAGAACGCCAGTGCTTCCGCTAGGAACTCAAGGTCACTGTTTGATTTTATGAAACCGCAAACGAGTGGCAATGAAAGTGTTAATGTACCCGCTGCTTTGCCTAGCGAAGTTGAAAACGCTGAAGGAAATCGTGATCGGTCAGTACCAGAGAGTCGTCAACACGAACAAAACAAACTTCCACCGTTACCAAGGTTCTCGCCGCAGAAAGCTCAGCAAAATCGGCATTCTGAGTCGGAGAAGAGACTGGGTGACCTGGGAGAAAATCTGTACTTACCCTCCCCGTCTCAGATTGATCCCGCAGTATTTGAAGCTTTACCTGAAGAGATTCGCAATAGCATCGAGAAATCATATGCCGCGAGAAATCAGAGAATTTCACTCAACAGAATGGCAAAACAACAGGTTGGTCTTGAGATTTACATAGGCTTTATTGCAATTTACTGAAAATAAGAAACTTATGATTGAAATCTCTTTCAGTTTGAGAATTGCTATGACGTGTGCTCAGCCAATTCAACATCAGTCGCCGCTTGCTTGTACTTTTCTCTAATTGAAGAATTCAACGAGAAATGCACGCAAACACGAAAATTGCGAAAATTGCTAAATTTTGTAAAATTCGTCAGACAAGTGGAAATGACGTTCGATGAGGGCTGCGAATTTTTTACGAAGTTTGCAAAAATGCGAAAATCGTGAAATTTTGTAAAAAGTCGTGTTCACATATACAGTTTAACGAGGAAACGAAGCCTGTCATAGCATGAAAATTCATTGCCATATTTCTTTACTAAGTGAACTGTTGAACAGAGAAACCATGTGACCATGCACAGTAGTGTAATATCGCAGTAGACGTTTAAAAAAACGAGGTATACATGGATGCGTTAGTTTGCCACGCGGGGTTTGCAAAGTTAATCAACTTTCCGGTTGCTCCCAAACATATAACTCTTAGTTCGCGCGTTGATATCCCTATTTCGTTTGAAGCAAAAACGTGTATTATCTTCGCTTTTGCAACGAGGAATACATTTAACTCTTAGTTCGTGCTTTGATATAAATTTGCAAAGTCAGCAATTTTCGCAAATTTCGTAAAATCCGCAGAGCCGCTTTGCTGATGTGTTATCATTAACATAATAAAGGGCATAAACTTTTGTAAAATTCGCAAAGCGCGGTACTAGCGAAAAATCGTTAAAATTGTAAATTCTGCAATTTTCGCGTAGCCGCAACTAACAATCGTAAAATTTGTAAATTTCGTATCTGGATGCAGTCGGGAAGTTTTCGGGAACTTCTCGGAAAGACAGCAAATGGAGCTATTTTGTTCAAGCTTTAGTACACCCCGAAAATGGTGTTACTACCGTGAAGTACGATTTCTCGAACCCTCATTTTTTCGAACCTCCCGATAACTCGAACCAACTCGTTTCGAGCTCGACTAACTCGTTTCCCTTGGAGGTTCAAAAAAAATCACGATTCCACTGTATTATAATTGCTACTTGAAAGCAAGGAAGTGTGGTAGATAGTTTTGAAATCCCACTTCAGTAGCAATTTGCTCAAAACCGTGAGTCGGCTATTTACTAACAATTGGTCGTAAATGCGAAAGAGAGTTTTCAAGTTAATAGCGTCGACTTTCCAGCGAAATGTATGGCTCATTACCGCAACTAATCTACCAATTAGCAAAATTCAGGAAATCAGGTACATTGGCAATAACTGAAATACGAAAATGAACTCTACAGAAAGAAATTAATGTCACCGATATTCTTAAAATTTCGCAAATTTCAGCCTCGATATTCTTATGAACTATATTCCGGTAAAAAGAAAACGGTGTACAACTGAGTATGGTTTTCAAATTCGCCAAAATGATATTCACCCCGAAAATGTTGTT